GCACTGCTGTCCTGCATGAGCAACGCTGTCACGCCGTCAACCTGCGACGTTGGCACGCCGTCGACCTTGCCTTGCTGGAGCGCGGTCGACGAAGTCGTGCTGGAACGCGGTCGACCAAGCTGCGCTGGCAGTTGGCCGACCTGAATGCTTGCTCTGATGTAGTCTTGCATTGCCAACTTCATTGTACCAATTGTTCTGAACTTTTCCTAGTGAAACTCTTGCCAATTTTCCCCGTGAACTAGCAAGTAGTGTGCGTACAAGGAAAACGACTAAGGAACAGAGAACGCAGAGATCACACGAGCACACGTGCCTAGCCCGTAGCCTAGCTCCCGTTGCTGCAGTTATCTCCGCAAAGCCGCACCGCGCTGGGGCTGACGCAGCCCCGACCCCGGAGCCAGCTGCTGACGCTGCTGCTGCTGAGGCTGCTGGGAGGAAAGGGGCTGCTGCTGCTGCTGAAGGTGCTGCTGACGCTGAGCCTGGTACCACGCCGCTGCTCCACCTAGCGGGGCCGGCAGTACAGGAGGCGACTGACGAGCTCGGGGGTCGCCGCCACCAGCAGGTGCAGTGGAGTCACCAGCCGCTGCACGAGGGGTCTCTCCAGACGCTGTACTCCCACCACCCCCAGTCGCAACAGCACCCCCACTACCTCCGCTACCTCCACCTCCACCTCCACCAGAACCACCTTTCTTGCCCCCCCTGCCGCGGGACCGCGACGCAGTCGTAACAGCAGCCGCAGTCGCGTCAGTAGCGGCAGTGGCAAGAGAGGCAGTGAAGGTGGGTAACTGCGGGACTGTGCACCCGTGGAAGAGTGGGGGGGACACAGTACCAGAGGCGGCAGCTACCGAACGAAGGTTGCTCTCGACGTCCTTGAGTGCGGACTCAAGGACCTCGATAGTCAGCTCACTAGGTTGCTTCAGCAGAAGCGCGTCACGAACGGAGGCAAGGCGGTCAGGGAGGCTAGTGGCGATGAAATAGACAGTGATCGCCATGGGGGGAGGAAGCAGTGCAAGCTGTGCCTCAGTGCAAGCAGCGCGGTAACTAGCGTCGAGCGAGCGGAGGTGAGCGATCAAGTCAGCAGAGCGCTCAAACGAGGCAAGATCAGGAAACAGGAACGGGAGGAAAAGACGGCCAAGAGAGACAGTAGCGGGAGTAGAGTAGCGGGCCTTAATCGCAGTGAGGTACGCAGCAGCGGTGCGAACCTGAGTAAAGTGGACCTCCTCGGACTCAGGGAGGAGGCTGCTGAGTGCGATGCAGGCCGCAGCGTCACGCGACGTCCAAGCCGTCCGGTCAGCGCGCTGACGGGCAAAGCGAGCCGTAGCAGCGTCGTCAGGAGCAGGGCCTAAAGCTGTAGGCTCGGGGGGCTCGGGGAGGTCACCAGTAGCGTGTGACCAGAGGGTCTCGCCCCCCTGGACCTGACTCTCTAACAGACGGCGAGCGCGAAGAAGCCAGACGGAAAAGTCAAGGGGTCTACCGTCAGCGTCGAAATGAAGAACTCGCGGAGTCGCCATAGTGAGAACTAAAGCGAACGAACAGGCGAGTAACAACCGGGGGGGAAGAGGACTCAGTCGCAGCGAAAGAGCGGGCTAGGGCGACGGGCCAGGACGTAGGGTAGGGCAACGGGCCAGGGCCTAGGGTAGGGCGACGGGCCAGGGCTTAGGGAGGGCAACGGGCCAGAGCCTAGGGTAGGGCAACGGGCCAGGGCCTAGGGTAGGGCGACGGGCCAGGGCTTAGGGCAGGGCGACGGGCCAGGGCGTAGGGCAGGGCGACGCGACGGGGGAAAGGGCGAGAGCGACGCGACGGGGCAGGGCGACGCGACGGGACAGGGCGACGCGACGGGGCAGGGCGGCGCGACGGGGCAGGGCGACGGGACGGGGCAGGGCGACGCGACGGGGGAGGGCGACGCGACGGGGTAGGGCGACGCGACGGGACAGGGCGACGGGACGGGGGGGGGGAACAGGCGCAACGCGACGGGGGGAAAGGGCGTGACGCGACGGGGGGAAAGGGCGCGACGCGACGGGGGGGGGGGGGGGGGGGGGGGGAAGGGCGCTAGGCGACGGGGAGAAAGGGCGCTAAGCGACGGGGGAAAGGGCGCTAGGCTCGGTACTAGGCGCGGCAATAACGGAACTAGTACGAACGAGAGGTAGGATCAGGCTCGGGAGGTACGAACGGAGAACGGAGGAACGGGATCCCACAGGATCCTAACCTAGCTGATACCATGTCAAAATGAGGAATGATGGTTCCATTGATGTTGGTTGGGGTACATATAACAAACCCTAACTTCTGTACCCCCTAAGACAAACCTCACTACAGGCTACAACATTTGACATATGGTGTTTCGCTTCCGTGGGTATCACTAACCCTTCTGGAACAAGCTCAGAGACGTGCGTAACAGCAACCTTGTGGGTGCAAGTTTCACACATGTGAACGTCATCGCATACCTTTTTTACTAGCAGGATTATAAATGTTGATACTCGCATTACCGTATGCGTTTTTTCCAGGGCGTCCCAGTTACTGCATGCTTATCGTCAACCAGTATCGCGCTATGCATATTGTTCAACACTACCCATTAGTACTGACCACAATGGTGAGTATTGGAAACGCAAACTTGGTGTACTTGTTAACCAAGTTTTCATGTCTTTTTTTCCAGTTTACATCTGTTTGACTTGTAGAGATTTTCTTCTTGCAGAGATGCGTTACAGTAAGTTGTGTTTGCATGTTTTGCAGGGCCAACCTGTTACCCCCTTCCATTGTCCACCAGAATCCTTATTAACCATAATGGTGAGTGGTGGAATGGCAGTCCTGTTATGATTTTTTAACGAGGTTTTTTTCTTCTGTTTCTGCAGGCTGCGTCCATATTCTTATTAACAGAGTTCACACATCATCTTACCTGTGCATTATGCGTAGTAGTACTAGTAAGGTTGGGTAGATTGTACGTTTGCAGCCTTGTAAGAGAATCATTATTATTGACATTTTCTATCCGTGCTGAGTGTTAAGATAGTAGTTAGGAGGAAAGAATAGGAGTCATGCTAGGGTTTAGGCTAGGCATGACTATCGAGAGAGTTGGAGCAAGAAAAGGTGATTTCACTATGGAGCAAAGAGTACAAATAGAGAACAAAGAAGCAAGGAAAGGTGCACCACCACTGTAAGACTACACTAACTACTGCTACAAGCAGTTTATATAAGAAATATATTTCAACACACCCCCTAAACTGCTTGCAGCAGGAAGCTAATGCAGAGACACCCCTTGAAGGGGTACACCAAGCGCAGTAGAAGCAGAGGGCAAGTGAAGAATGCGAGGAGGAGGAGGCGAGAGAGAGAGAGAGAGGAGAGGAGAGGGATGAGGAGTGGAGGTGGGGGGAGCCAAGCACGGCAAGCCCCTCTTACGAACCCCCGTTTTACGAAGGGGGGGAGGGTGAGAGAGAGATGAGGAGCGGGGGTGGGGGAAGCCAAGCGCGGCAAGCCCCTCTTACGAACCCCCTTTTTACAAAGGGGGGGAGGGTGAGAGAGGGAGGAGAGGAGGTGGGGGGAGCCAAGCGCGGCGAGCCCCTCTTACGAACCCCCAAGTCCACACCCTCTTTCAGCCACCCCCCTCAACCTCACCCCCCTTGTCAACCGCCCCCTGGAACCTCACGCCTTCCCCCCACCCTTCCTCCAACGCCACCCCCTCACCCTCCCCCCCCCCCCCCCACCCCAGGAGGGGCGACAGGAAGAGAGAGAGGAGGTGGGCTAACGCATGCTGGTCACCCCTGCCACCCCCTTACCCTCACCCTCCCCTGGGGCTGCTGCTGCAGAGCGGCGGCTGCTGCTGCTGCAGGCGCGGAGGCGGCAGCTGCTGCAGGCCTGGCGGCGGCTGCTGCTGCTGGGTGGCGGCGGCCGCTGCTGTAGGCTCTGGCGGCGCCCCGCGGGTCTTGTACGGACGCCGCGACGAGCAGGGGCGACGCCTCGCAGGTCCCGCACGGACGTCGCGACGAGCAGGGGCGACGCCCCGCGGGTCCCGTAGGGTCGTCGCGACGAGTAGGGGCGACGCCCCGCGGGTCCCGCGCGGGCGTCGTGACGAGCAGCGGGGAGGGCAGCGCGCAAGCCCCCCCGAGGGCGCTTCGATGGACGGGAAAACCGCCGCGCGCCCCGAGCGCGCGGCGGGCAGAAAAAGGCCGCCACGCGCTCGGAGCGCGTGGCGGGAAGAAAATGCAGCGCCGCGTGCCACGGGGCGCGCGGCGGACAGTAGGGCAGCGGAAGACGTTGGTGGGGGGCCCACAGGCCAGGAAGGCCGCAGGAAAGTTCCTGCTCTGATTACCATGTTAAGATAGTAGTTAGGAGGAAAGAATAGGAGTCATGCTAGGGTTTAGGCTAGGCATGACTATCGAGAGAGTTGGAGCAAGAAAAGGTGATTTCACTATGGAGCAAAGAGTACAAATAGAGAACAAAGAAGCAAGGAAAGGTGCACCACCACTGTAAGACTACACTAACTACTGCTACAAGCAATTTATATAAGAAATATATTTCAACACTGAGAAACGAATACCCATAAACGAGAAGTGTCAATCGAAACTGTCACTGTTCCAATCGCTAGCCATTTTTTTTTTTTTTTTTTTTATGTATCGCACGCCTACGATTGGTCCATGTGCCAAAATTTCGTGCGTCGATATGAATCTGATCCGACGGTTGTCGTTAGCGTACATCGACATCCACGTCAGCATGTTTCAGTTTCATCTTGAGTACGTCGTAATGCCACGTGGCGTTCTCGTAACACTTTCGCTGTGGTTGCTGAGAAGTGACTTTCCGCAACTTTGAGGTTGATTTACTGCATACCGGGTTAGCTGCGTCAGTGTATGCAGTTTCTGTCGATTTAGTGACAGAAAAGTTGCATCGCAAGTCACTACAGCACCCACGATTTTGAACCTTGACTTTTTTATTGCGGGAGAAATGCAACCCTAAAGTAACGAGGCAGTAACTTTTGAGTTGCTTTTTGCAGTTCCCTTTTCCTGCTCAGTGAGCACGACATGGCGCAATGGACGCTCGCCGTCCGTCCCAGTGGCAAGCCCGTGACCACACTTACAACAGCCCGGCTTCAGCAAGAGCCTTCCTTCTCGATTTCTGAAAAATCAAGGGGGGACGCAGTGGCTGATGGAGCGTTGGATTCGGCCTGTGACCATGGCGCCTCTCACGGCCGCTGGCTGTTGGATGTCAGCACTGGAAAGTACAGGTGAGAGCTGACGGTGCAAACATGACTCTACTGACGCCTTTGAAATCCTTGAATCCTGATTGCCAATGCACACCCCTGTTAACCCGTCACCCTCCTGCTGCCCTTTACCTCGCCAGGGTTGAGTCGACGCAAAAAAACTCACGTGATGTTCCTTCGCTCCCCTTATTCCTCCACCTCATGCACCTCAGGTGGGTTGATTTTTTAGTCGACTCAAGTCGACTCAAAAATCAAGTCGACTCAAAAATCAACTTGTTCCTTCACTCCCCTTATTCCTCCACCTCATGCACCTCAGGTGGGAGTTCCTCCCGTACGCCCCTCCCCTGCCTCCGCCGTCCCACTGGGTCTCCGCCTTGGCATCACGTGGCATAAGAGAGATCAACTTCGTGGGCGACTCACACCAACGCTTCCTCATGCTGCACCTTGCTTACCTCATAATACATACCGTCAATGACTCGCACGTGGACTATCATGGGGATATCTCCATCTCTGTACCTGGCCCTGCCCCAGCCTATGATACAGCACCACGGGGAGATGATGTGGCATTGGACGTCCGAAGGGGTCTTAGGGGGAGAGGTGGTATGAATCAGCAGCAAGAGCAGCAGAAGTGGCGGGAGTTTGGGGGACTGAAGCTGAATTTCTATTGGGTTGATGGCATATACCAGAACGGGCAGTTTGGATGCGAGTAAGTCAACACCCACAGCACCCTTGTTGGAAAATACCGTTTTTTCCCATGAGATCGCAGCATTATGCACCCATTTCCACATTAAATGCACTCTGGATCCAATCGCTCCAACTTCATCCTCCCTCCCACTCCCACTTCAGGCGAAGGGGCTTCTACTCAGGCAGGGAAGATTCCTTCCCCAACATCTCCAAAACGGCGGATGTCACAATCATTGATGCTGGCGCCTGGTCCGGCTTGCTATGCCAGGAGCCTGAGAGGGCCTACAGTGTTCACCTGCCTGCGTTTCTCGAATGGGCGAATGGACAGAGGCGTAAAGCAGAGGAGCACCACCAGAGTGAGTATGTGAAGCTACAAACGGCAGACCTTGACGTTGCTTATTTGGCAACAGATGGTGGTAGTGGGGAAGCCAAGCCTGGTGTTGGTTACGGCGTCAACAGTACCAGTACCAGGATGCTCACGCAACATACATCGAAACCAAAGTTTCTGTTTCGGTCCATTCCTCCCATTCGACGGGTCAACAAGGATTGCTTCACTCCTACACCACCAAAGCCATTTTCGTTACATCCTTCGACAAACTCGCTCATCGAGTACATGAAATGAAATTTTTCGAAAGTGTGTAACACTTTCTAAAAATGCGTATTGTGAAAGCGCAGCTACCTGTAACGAAGCAAAGCAACGGCGAATTACAATTCGCCGAGTATATAACGAGGGTTGGAGGCCATTCGGCCTCCACCCACGACTTCATTTCGGAACTTTGCAGTTCCACTCATTCTCGTCCAACCACCACTGAAGTTCCCCTCCCACTAGTAGTGCTTTAGTACTAGGAAACATCAACCAGCTGCCACATGCCCGACTCCCTTGCATGTGCACCTAGAAGGGCGACATAATCACGCCTGCGACTGTACTTTGCGTGCGCCTAACTGAGATCGAAGTGCGCCGGAGAAACTGCAACTGGCGCGCCAAGGACGAAATTGCTTCTGCCACTCGCGCAAGTGGCACGTGCCAGCAACGAAATCGCCACTGGCGCCAGTGGCGCGCGCCAAGGACGAAATCGCCACTGGCGCCATTGGCGCGCGCCAAGGACGAAATCGCCACTGGCGCCAGTGGCGCGCGCCAAGGACGAAATCGCCACTGGCGCCAGTGGCGCGCGCCAAGGACGAAATCGCCACTGGCGCCAGTGGCGCGCGCCAAGGACGAAATCGCCACTGGCGCCAGTGGCGCGCGCCAAGGACGAAAACGCCACTGACGCCAGTGGCGCGCGCCAAGGACGAAATCGCCACTGGCGCCAGTGCATATAAGTTGCATATAAGTGCTGCAAGTGCATTTCATTTCCTTTTTTTTTAATTATTATTGTTTTTCAACATGTCACCTGCGTTTTCTCTCGATTAATCTCTACGCCCCGTGAATCCCTTCATGGCAGAAACACGAGCTCAACGCCACGATTGGGGAAATAAGTTTATAAGAAGTGGGACCTGACAAAAGTTAGAAGAAGAAAGAGGAATGAACTAGCAGAAATGGGGATACAAATAGCAAACCCTAGAAGGGTTGTACTCGCTATAGAGCACCCCACTACAGGCTAGAACATAAGAATAATATTCTGACAGGACCCTGCTCGTCGCGCTGGGAAATCGCACCGACGACACGATCAACTACACGCACACCTAAGGAGGCCCTTGAACGGAAAGATGAAACCGAGGGTCCCCGTGTGGCCTGAGAGCCGTCCCCCAGGGGGGGAAGGGGACCGAGGGTCCCCGTGTGGCCTGAGAGCCGTCCCCCAGGGAGGGAAGGGGACCAAGGGTCCCCGTGTGGCCTGAGAGCCGTCCCCCAGGGGGGGAAGGGGACCGAGGGTCCCCGTGTGGCCTGAGAGCCGTCCCCCAGGGGGGGAAGGGGACCGAGGGTCCCCGTGTGGCCTGAGAGCCGTCCCCCACGGGGGGGAAGGGGACCGAGGGTCCTCGTGTGGCCTGAGAGCCGCCCCCCAGGGGGGGAAGGGGACCGAGGGTCCTCGTGTGGCCTGAGAGCCGTCCCCCAGGGGAGGAAGGGGACCGAGGGTCCTCGTGTGGCTTTAAAGCCGTCCCAGCGGGGGAAGGGACCTGAAGGCCTCCATGCTGGCCTTACCGTAAGATGGGCTGAAATTTGAGTGGATGGATGGATCATTCTTGGCTATTGATGTATCGTATACGGTAATAATTATTAAAAAAAAAAAAAAAAAGGCTGGTTTGGAGCCCCACCAACTTCCAAGGAAGTAACTGCTTTTAAGTGATCTTGTTACAAACAGTTGGTAGAGTGCAACTCAATATGAATTCTGAATCTGTCTTGACTACGGTGGTGCACACACACTCTTACCGGTATACACCGCACTCAATGTTTTCCCCAAATAAGAGCAATGCTGCAGGAGATCGGTGTTCGCCATCATGCACACATCCCACTGTGTTTGATCGCACCCAACAAGGAAATACAACCATTCGTGTGAAACGACTTGCATGCAATCACAAGCTCGCCACTCGTTAAGAACTTGGATAGACCTTTGGGAGTTAAAGACAAAATTTGTGTACCACTACGGTATCCTCTTGCACCAACAAACAGAGACATCCACATCAACCCATCGAGCAACCTTCACACACACAGCATTCCAAACGTCATCGACTTGGAAATCGCGATCGCCAACACCGCCTCTCTTGTCACTTCGTGACGACCATCAACCGCAACCACACCCACCGCGTCTACAACGCCCCAACCGCACATGTCTCAGAAGACCCAATTGTAATGAAGCCCGTTGCCTTTGCAAGAACAGAAAGCAAGCTTTCTCAATATGAAATTTTTCGAAAGTGTGTAACACTTTCTAAAAATGCGTATTGTGAAAGCGCAGCTACCTGTAACGAAGCAAAGCAACGGCGAATTACAATTCGCCGAGTATATAACGAGGGTTGGAGGCCATTCGGCCTCCACCCACGACTTCATTTCGGAACTTTGCAGTTCCACTCCCCACCCACCCACCCTAGTCGTATATTGTATATCATAATAGTTGGACGAGAATGTTGTATTACTGCAATTGTAATGAAGCCCGTTGCCTTTGCCAGAACAGAAAGCAAGCTTTCTCAATTGGGCTTTTACAGGGGCAATTACAGCGCTACAGTATACAGTTGCTTGATGGATGGCCGCTGGAAGCTCCAAGGCATATGGATACATGTGGTCCTACAAACATTCACTACACTTGTTACGATGCTGGTGAGGGAGGAAGAGGGGTTGAGAAGGGTTGGCTGTATGGTGAAGTTGGTGAGGCTATGACGAATCTTACAATGCACCACCTGTTGTATAATCTGCATAAACAATGAGATGTGAGAATGTACTATTTTCCAACTTCGGTCTATCATGCCTTCGACCTGATCTGTGCCTCCAGACCAGATGCTCACATAGAGTGTTGCTGGTGCAGAGCTTTCAGAATGTTACACGGTACCAATGTTGTGCAATAATGAGCTTTGACTTTCAAAGTTAGCAAACACCATTGTTCGAATCAACAGCATTGTGCAAAGATAATACACGATTCCCCAACAAGCCACATCAACGGATTGGCTGATGCTACCATACTAGAAATAGCACAAGCAGGTGTGCGTATTGTGGAAACACTTCCTTAGGCGGAAAGCTCCTGTCTTGACAACAGTAAGAACCTACCGGTACCGGTACTAGTCTGGCCATCTCCAAAAGCTGCCCCATTGTGCCCCGCTCCAATAAGCCACCTCATCGAGCTTTTTGCTTCCATAGATCTAGCTGCTGAAGCAGATGAGAACCGTGCTGCTGCCGCGCGCACCCAGAGAGGGAGGGGCCTTTGTGTTGACCCTCAATCTTGAAGCTACCGTGACTTGACTGTAAAGCCCATTTTATTGCACGCCGCTCCACCGTGCGACCTCCACAAGCTGGCTGCTGCCGAAGATGCGTACACCAAGAGGCCTTAAAGCCTATGCACTGTATGCTTTCATAACGCAAAGAACCATTTTACTGCACGCCGCTCCACCGTGCGACCTCGACAAACTGGCTGCTGCCGAAGATGTTGTTGCTGAAGCGGATGAGAACAGTGAAGATGCGAGCTCCCAGGGGCATGCTGCGGGCCAATGGTGACGATTCCACCACTCGCTCCAACCCGTTGATGATCTGATAGCGCGTGTTAGATGACACTGCCATGAATCCACCTGCGGTGAAGAGGAATTCAGGAAGAGAAAGGGTAGGATTTAAAGTTCGCCGTGGGGAGAACAAGACTCCAGCCTGTTGATGATCTGATAGCGCGTGTTGGATGACACTGCCATGAAGCCACCTGAGGGTGGGGAAGGTGGTGGACGAGGGAGGGGGGAGGGGAGGGGAGAGGCACGTTGTCACCAAACACACCGCATGTACAGGGGGTAGCGCATGTTGGACGATACTGCCATGAAGCCACCTGGGAGGCACAAGTGGCGTGGCAAGGGCGGGGAGGCAGAAGAGGCATGGCAAGGGCGGGGAGGCAGAAGTGGCGTGGCAAGGGCGGGGAGGCAGAAGTGGCATGGCAAGGGCGGGGTGACATGAGGGAGGGGAAAGGGTGATGAGGGAGGGGAAAGGGTGATGAGGGAGGGGAAAGGGTGATGAGGGAGGGGAAAGGGTGATGAGGGAGGGGAAAGGGTGATGAGGGAGGGGAAAGGGTGATGAGGGAGGGGAAAGGAAGATGAGGGAGGGGAAAGGGTGGGAATGGTGAATCAGAAAAAAATGAATGAATCCAGATGGGAGGTGGCAAGGAGAAAAGAGTATATTTTTGGGGAGTGTGGTCGTGGATGGGGGTTGCAAGAGAAAAGAGTGGGAGTGGAGTGAGGGAGAAGAGTCGAGCATCAGAGAGGGCAAGGGACAAGCGTATATCGTACCACAAAGAAGAGCAATGAAAAGCAGGCAGAGAATCGACTCAATTTGAAAAAAAGAAAGGGTGTATCTCGTACCCCAGAGTAAGGCGGTGGGAATCATGCCCGGGATCTTCACCTCCTCCTCGTGCTCCCCCGGCTTCCTCAGATTCCTGCCCCCCCGAGTGTGCCACACACAGGCACAGAGAGACAAACACACGCACATAGAGACACACACGGAGACACGCACAGAACCACAAGTGAGTCGCAGGGAAGTGGCATAAGGCTGAGGATCTTGACCTCCTCCTCCTGCTCCCCAGGCTTCCTCAGATTCCTGCCCCCCCATTGCACACACAGACGCAGAGGCGGAATGCATGGACGTACGTGCAAGTGAGTTATCAACACCGATTGCACCCCTCACACTTCCCATCCCCCCCCTGCCCTTGCAAACACAGATCTTGACTTCCCATCACCCACTTCCCTCCCCACCTTACCCAACCACCACGCACCGCTTGATTTGCACAATAGCAGTTGTCATCGCCTGGGCAATCAGACCACAGCTGAATCCCACCCATCTCCCTCCCTCTTGAATATCCCATCTCCCCTCCTTTTCCACCCCCCCTTTCCACCCCCCTTCCACCCGCAACTAACACGCACCGCTTGATTAGCACAATAGCAGTTGTCATCGCCTGGCCAATCAGACCACAGCTGAACCCCACTACAGCATACTGCCCGCCCTTCACCAACCACGTCGCACCCCTCTGCACCACACTGTATCTCCTCCCAGGCAGCGCCGCCTCAAACATGCTGCTGGGAAGCGCCTCCAAAGCTGCAGCCAGGCCCGGCGGCACCAAGCCTCGCCTGCCTCGGGCTGCCGAAGCTGCAGCGCTGCTGCCGAACCTAGCCATGGGCGCGAGCATGCTGACGAGGGCAGCGTCGACTGCGAATCCCACGAGGATATCTGACATATAGAGATCAAACTCCTTCCAGAAATCGTCTCCTCGTTTCCGCACTTCGGCAAAAGTGGCACACCCAGAGTCAATCACAACCTGGTGGTGAGGAAGGAAGGGGAGGGGGGAGAGGGCAGGGGGAGAGGGGAAGGGGGAGGGTGAAGTGAGGAGAGGCGAGGGGCGAGCATGCTGACGAGAGCAGCATCTACTGCGAATCCCACAAGAATATCTGACATGTAGAGATCAAACTCCTTCCAAAAATCGTCTCCTCGTTTCCGCACTTCAGCAAAAGTGGCACAGCCAGAGTCAATAACGATCTGGTGGGGAGGGTGGAGTCGGGAGAGGGGAGAGGGGAGGGTGGAGCAGGGAGAGAAGGGGAGGAACATAGGTGATTTTATCAGTATTCTAAAAACACTTTAGCAAAAAAGGCGGCACAGCCAGAGTCTATTACGATCTGGTGGGGAGGGTGGAGCTGTGAGGGGGAAAATGGGAGAGGGGAGGGGGGAGGTCGAAGGTATGGGGACATAGTTCGTGAGCCGACCAGGGTTCGGGGTTGAAGGCTTATGCCAGGGTAGAGGGGTTTAGTTTGGATTGTTCAGTGAAACTAGCATACGCAGCAAAGCGTTTGACAGTGGAGCATCTATTTGGTTTGACGCAATCCTCGTTACAAGCATGAAACAATGTGAACACTTTGACCAGGCTTGACGGATCCGCACAGTTATGCGTTCTCAACAGTGGAACATCTGGATCGTGTAACTACCATTTTATAAGCACATGCGCATACGCGCACCTCTGTGAACACTTTGAAGAGGAAGGCGGGATCCGCCAACAGCCTGTTGCGCAATCCGGCGAACGCGCGGGTGGCGGCGGCGAGAATGCCTCCGCCCACCTGACGGGGAGAGAAGGGGGGAAATCGGGAAGATACGGGGAGGAAGCGTGAGAGGAGAAAGGAGGGAACAGAGAGCGCATAAATGCACATTTGGAGAGATTTCACCATGGCGCCACGGCAGGCCCATGAGGGGTTGCCGCTGCGAGGATGCCTCCGTGAAGGATCCTTACAACGCATGGACGGGGTTTAGGGGATGGGCAGATACGTGCAACATTCGTGCAACATTCGATATAGTCACACAGACCTGCAGGTCGATGTATCGCTGCAGCAGCAGCTGCGCAATGCCGTGCTCCTTCAAATGCGCTAGCATGTCCTCCGGTAGAGTCACACCCGCCTTAGATAACGCCTCCTCCGCTTGCGCCCAACCCAGAATCGGCCCATAGTCGCTCTCCGCATCCCCCGCATTTCCCTCTCCGCCAAGCCCATCCCCTCCCCCTCCCCCTCCGCTTCCGCCTCCGCCTCCGCCGGAGCTTCCCCCTGCGCCGTCACCTCCTCCGCCGCCAAGCTGCGTCACGTAACCGGCAGATGAAGCGGCCGCGCTGGTGACGACCAACGGCCTTGACGGTTTGCCGCCGGAGGACCTGGATCTACCGTCCAAACCGGACAATGTAGCAATGTTCGGGTTCAGAGCGGTGGAGATCGGTACTTCGTTAGACGGATCGGCGCTCGCGATGACGATGACGGTGCGGTGGCTCTTCGAATGGGCACTGCTGGTCGCGCAGAATGCAGCAGCGGGAACGGTAATGGAATGCGAAAGTCGCACAGTGAAAACTGGCTCCTGGGATCGCCAGCCATTCGATGGAGATCCGACGGCCGTGGTGAAGCTTTGAGCAGCCGCTGCGGGGTTCGCTAAATGCAAGGCCATGGCCAGACGATGTGACGCGATTTGCGATAAGAGAACTTGGCGCTTAAACGCAACGAGTGCACGGTGCCCGAACTCTCCTAGCTTTGATACGCCTGTAATGCGGCGAGGGAGCTTATCTAGACCAAAGTTTGCCAAGCCTGAAGCTTCAATACGACGGATCAACACAACAACAGATCAGGCCAGGAAACTTCGAGGTTTTTGAAATCTCAAAAACATTCGGAACTGTACGCGATACAAACGTAATTGTAGTGAAGCTGCTCTGTTCTGCTCTGCCATGCTCCTGCCAATCTGCAGCTTGGGCATGCGGCCGCAGCATAATTCTGACCACGTGGAGCGAACCCAATGGTCGCTAGTTGCCTCCCACCAATCAGAAATGCCAGCCATGTGTAATCCAACCAGTCACAATCACCGGCGAAAACTCCACTCGACATCAAGTATTATGTACACTAGTGTTACGAGTGCAATTGAGTGAACGAACGAGAATTGCACTATCGAAGCAAAGAAGTACAATGAGCGAAGGCATGAGCGAAGGATTATATAGCGAAACAATAGTGGTAACGGTAATGGACTGTGGTTGTCGCGCGACGAGCCTAGGGCTGAGGTTGGGAAAGTGTCGAAGCGTAGGCCCGGAGCGCGGGTTACCAGCCGAGCCGTGAGGTCGGGATGCGATGTGCGAAGAGGGCGGGATAATGAATGATGCGATGGTCGTGAGTGGTAACGGTGCTGACTGAGGTGCTACAGTGACGTACGCGTTGAGCAGGGACGCGAAGTAAGGAAAAGGGAATTTCCTTACAACTAGAATCTTAATGGATGCTGCAAGTAACCAAGTCAGTATTATTAATATGGGCTACTTAATAGTGCTCTTTGCAACTCAGACGGCTTTAAAGGCTTGGTGATAAAGCTATCCATGCCCACCTCCATGCACCTTTCCCTATCCGATGCCAACGCGCTGGCGGTTAATGCTATGATGCGCGGTCGGCGTATATGCTGCTTCCGACGGTATTTACAATTTTGGGCTTCACTGCCCCGATCAGCCTTGACATCCATCTCTGTTAGTTTGTCTTGCGAAGCTGGTGCAGCAGCCATAGTAGGGGCGGCTGAAATGGAGTCGAGGCCTCTGCTGGTGCCGTCACTATTGAAGTATGGAACCTTATAATGATCAGTATAATGTTGCCGAATAAGGCGCGTTGCCTCAAATCCATCCATCTCAGGCATATGACAGTCCTGTAGTCACGCGCATGAGGGTACGTCCAGAGAAGGATGCAGGAAAACAAGGAAAAACCATGAGAACAAGATATTGTGCAACAGGCAAGTCACCACCAGCTGGTTCACCCCACACACTCAATAAGATCCCTTGAACGTCTCACTATAAGACAACTCACTATAAGACGACTCACCATGAGCACAAGGTCGTAGTCCCGCTGAGCGCACTTATCAACGGCCTCGCGGCCATTGACAGCCACGTCACACGCCACGCCCAGGCTGTGCAGCATGCGCGTCACCACCAGCTGGTTCACCCCACAGTAGCATGATGAGATTGTTTGAATGACTCGCTATAAGACAGCCCACTATAAGACGAGTCACTCACCATAAGCACGAGGTCGTAGTCCCGCTGCACACACTTGGCAACGGCCTCGCGGCCATTGACAGCCACATCACACGCCACACCCAGGCTGTGCAGCATGCGCGTCACCACCAGCTGGTTCACTCTGTTGTCCTCTGCCACCAGGCACCTCATCCCCTCAAACGGTGACTTCTTCTCTTCTCCTTCCTTTGTGCCACACCCCTTGCCCTGCTGCTCTCTCCGCCCTTCCTGCTCCCCCTTTTCTCCCTGCTCTCCCTGCTCTCCCTCCTCTCCCTGCTCTCCCTGCTCTTCCTGCTCCTGTGATTCTTTATCCTGCGCGAGTTCTTCATTTGAACATCGTCCATTCCCCTGAGTATCCCTCTGCTGCCTGATACAGGCTCTCTTGACATCACGGTCCATCTCATATGCCTCTCCTCCTCTCCTCTTCCCACCAGCATGCGCCTCCACATCCTCCTCTGCTGCTTCAGCGGATTTGAGGCGCCCCAAAAGTCGTTTCCTGTCAAGCACTCCCACATTGGCCTCTGCTGTTTCCAGCCCTGCCGTGCCACCGCTGCCACCGCTGCCGCCCCTGCCCCTGCTGCTACTACCCCTGCTGCCACTGCCGCTGCTGCCACTGCTGCTTCTGCCACTGCCGCTGATGCTGATGCTGATGCGGTTACACACGCGCTCAAGGGCCTCGTTCAGATGAACACTGTTGTGGTGTGCTGTTGCCGGGTCAGCTGTCTGGTCAGTTGCCGGGTCAGCTGTCTTGTTAATTGCCTGGTTGATAGGCTGGCTGGTTGGCTGGTCAGTTGTATGATTAGAGGGCTGGTCCCTTGGACAATCTTTAGCACAATCAGTTGCAGAGTCGACCGTACGGTTAGTTGCTCTCAGATGCTTAGTCAGGTCAGAGTGCAAGGGATTGTTTTGAGTCACTTTCAAACGAGGACGAGGAAGAGGAGGAGGGGGAGTGGTGCTGTGAGTGGGTTCAGAACAAGGAGGCAGGGAGGGTGCGAGGGAGGGTGAGAGGGAAGGTGCGAGGGAGGGTGCGAGGGAAGGTGCGAGTGAAGGTGCGAGGGAGGGTGAGGGAGAAGGTGAGAGGAAAGGTGCGAGGGAAGGTGCGAAGGAGGGTGCGAGGGAAGGAGAAAGGGAGGGTGGGAAGAATGGAGGGACGGAGGCGACTGCTGGAGTTGGTTGCAGGGAATGAAGACGAGGAGGAGGTGTGGGGACAATGGGAGGTGCAGCTACAGCGGCAGGAGCAGCGAGAAAAGGAGGTCGAGGGAAAGTGGGAGTTGCAGGGAGGGAGGGCGAAGGGTGTTGAGCCTGATGGGAGTTCAGGGCAGTGGGTGTAGGCTCAACTGAGGTGCCGGCAGGTTGGACTGGGGGAGGGCGTACTGACAGACCCTGCATGGAGAGTGATGCGCCAGTCTCTGATCCTGGGGTAGGTGGTTCTGAGGCAGGTGCTTCTGAGGCGGGTGGTGCTGGGACGGATGGACCTGAGGTGGGTAGTGCAGGGCCAGGTAGTGCTGGGGAAGGTAGACGTGTAGCAGATGGATCTTGGTCAGGTCGGTTTGAGGCTGGTAGTTCAGGGTCAGTGTGAGGCGCAGCAGCACAGGGGGAGGAGGAGGGCACGGGGGAAGTGGGAGGTGCGGGATTGGGATGGGGACGCGGAGCACGGGAGGTAGAAGTAGCAGCAGGGGAGGTGGTTTCCAGTTCTTGAAAGGCAATACCTGCAGGTGCATCTGGGCCAGGCTTATCCACCCCACCCACAACCACCACCTCATCCCTTTGAACTTGTCCAAACGGGATACAAACGGTGAAAGCCGACCCAACTCCGGGCCGACTCTCCACTTGGATCTCCCCACCCATGAGGCCAATGAGCGAGTGACAGATGGCAAGGCCCAGCCCCGTGCCTCCGAAGCGGCGCGAGGAGGAGGAGTCAGCTTGAGTGAAGGGGTGGAAGATTTGGGGCATGACGTGGGGTGCCATGCCTATGCCTGTGTCCTGCACCCTCACCTGCACCCACTCCACTGACTTCTCCTGCTGCCCCTCCTGCCCCTCCTGCTGCTCCTGCTGCCCCTCCTGCTGCCCCTCCTGCTGCCCCTCCACCTGCCCCACCCGCTGTCCCTGATGATTCATCTCCACGTGGGTCAAGTCCTCTAACCATCCGCTTGCCTCCACCCTCATCCCTCCCTCCAACCTTCCTTCCTCCCTTCCAGACGTCTCCACCCACGTTTTCTTCATCCCGCCAATTCTCTCCACCTCTGGTCTTGCTGTTTGCACCGTATCAGACCACCCCTTCTTCTTCACTCCTCCATCACTCTCCTGTTCCTCACCTCGCCCCTCTCCCTCTCTCTGCCTCTTCTTTCCTTGAGACCTTTCAACCCCACCACCACCACTGCCTCCTCCTCCTGCTGCTGCTGCTGCTGCTCCCACTTCCTTCTCTTCTCCCCCTGCTCCAACTGCTGCAGCTCCCACTTCCCTTTCTCCTTCCCCCCCTGCCCCTCCATTTCCTCTTGCTCCCCTACCCTGCCAGGTGTCCTCTCCACTACACTCCCCCCTCCCACGAGAAGACCTGCTATCACCAACCTTCTGCACACATTCGGCTGACCAGGGTGAACCAACCCAGAGCCTACCCCCCGCCCCACCAGCCTTGCCATTGACACGTGAGGGGGGTGGTTCGTGCAGCCTGGTCACATGCACTTCCACGGAGCCTCTGCCATGGGGAGACACGCACAGAGGGGAAAGAGCGCACGACACAAGGGAAGGACAGTGAGCAAAACGCGGAGCCGAGTAGGGAGCGACGACGGGGTGAACTGTGAGACGTCTCAAAAGTCGGAGCCGGGTAGGGAGTGGCGACGGGGTGAAGTCGCTCTGTAGAATGAGTGTGCCTTTCGTGTGGTGTTCAAGACAGTGTATTAACAATATAATTAGTAGTTGCAATGGTACTGAATATATCATAAGGCACATCCACATGACGCACCTATCAGTGAACTTGATGGCATTGGAAAGCAGGTTGAGCAGCACCTGGCGGAACCGCATTGCATCGCCCACCACCTCCTGAGGCGTGGATGGACGGACGGTCACTGACAGCTGGTATGATCCCAAGGAGAGAAAGGGAGGAATGGGAAAGGAGGGAGAGATGAGGCCGGGGGAAGGGGGATGGGAGCGGGAGTGGGACTGAGGGAGACAGCAGGGGTGGAGGGAGTGGGAGTGGGACTGAGGGAGCGAAACTGAGGGAGCGGGACTGAGGGAGCGGGACTGAGGGAGCGGAAACGCCAGTCAGTGGGAGTGAGAGTGAGAGTGAGACACACCTGCAGCCCTTTCTTCACGGCAACAACTCTCATGAGCGCGAGAGTGCTGTCAATGGCCGAGTGGAGGCCGAAGGGCGCAGGGGAGAGGGCGAGCGAGTGGGACTCGATGCGGGTGATATCGAGGAGGTCTGAGAGGATCCGCACGAGGCTCTCCCCTGACGCCCGCACCACCTGCAGCAGCGCCCTCTGCTCGCTGCTCACTCCCGAGCTTATTAGCAGTTCCACCACCCCCAACACGCCTGGGGAAGCGACCAAAGCAGCAGCATGGAAGGAGGGAGGGAGGGGCAAACGGGTGAGTGCGTTTCTAAGGCACCTCACGAGGCTCTCCGCTGATGATGCCCGCACCACCTGTTGAGACGTCTCAAACGATGCCCGCACCACCTGCAGCAGTGCCCTGTGCTTGGTGCTCACGCCTGATGCTAATAGCAGCTCCACCACCGACAATACGCCTGGGGAAGGAAAGAGGGAGCAGGGTGCGTGGAAGGGTGGGTGGAAGGGTCACGTGCAGCAGCGCTGCTCACGCCTGATGCTAGTAGTATTTCCACCACGCCCAACACGCCTGGGGAAGGAGGGAGGGTGGAAGGAGCGAACGTATGTTTGAGTGTGTTGTCAAGGCACCTCACGAGGCTCTCCCTTGACGCTCGCACCACCTGCAGCAGCGCCCTCTGCTCGATGGGTGGCTGGCTTCATCGCCTTACTGCCAGTCACCTACTGCCAATAACCCATTAACAAGCATTACCCACTCACCATTCATGGGGGTGCGCAGCTCGGGGCTCATGTTGGCCAGGAACTGAGTCTTGGCGCGGCTGGCCGCCTCTACCGATCAGTCATCACCTCACCCGTCATCTCCCACCACCACCATCCTTGACCCACCACCACCACCACCACCATCCATCACTCACCATTCATGGGAGTGCGCAGCTCGTGACTCATGTTCGCCAGAAACTGTGTCTTGGCACGACTAGCCGCCTCTGCTGCTTCCTTAGCCTGCCTCAGCTCCTCCTCCCGCCTCTTTGTCTCCCTCATATCGTGCCACACCACAATCACACAGTCCCTCCCCGCTGCCACTATGTGCTGGGAGGGGATGGAAACGCGAACACACACAGCCAAACACACACAGGGGGAGAGAGGAGAATTTGTCGAAATGCCCCTCTCTATCTGGATCGCCTTCCCTCGTTTCGTGCCACGCCACCATCACAGTCCCGCCCCGCTGCCACTATGTGCTGGGGGGAAAGGGGAAGGGGGGGGGGAAAACACAACGACGGGGAGGGAGAAGTACACGGGGAGGGAGAAGTACACGGGGAGGGAGAAGTACACGGGGAGGGAGAAGTACACGGGGAGGGAGAAGTACACGGGGAGGGAGAAGTACACGGGGAGGGAGAAGTACGTGGTCAAGAGCTGTCAATGATGGGATGCACAGGTGGGCTGCGGAGGCCTTACTTCCATCAACTCGTGTTGTATTACACAACGACGGGGAGGGAAATGTACACAGCCAAGGAGAGAGAGAGAGAGGCTTGTCAGTCAGCATGTCCCTTGCTCCCGCTTCGCTTGAGGTGATGCAAGTTTGAGGTGCAGGTTTGAGGAGCAGGTTTGAGGTGGTGAAGGTTTGAGGAGCAGGTTTGAGGTGGTGCAGGTTTAAGGTGGTGCAGGTTTGAGGTGGTGCAGGTTTGAGGTGGTGCAGGCTTGCAGTGCAGGCTTGAGGTGCAGGTTTGAGGTGCAGGTTTGAGGTGCAGGTTTGAGGTGCAGGCTTGAGGTGCAGGCTTGAGGTGCAGGTTTGAGGTGCAGGTTTGAGGTGCAGGTTTGAGGTGCAGGTTTGAGTGCAGGCTTGAGGTGCAGGCTTGAGGTGCAGGCTTGAGGTGCAGGCTTGAGGTGCAGGCTTGAGGTGCAGGTTTGAGGTGCAGGTTTGAGGTGCAGGTTTGAGTGCAGGCTTGAGGTGCAGGCTTGAGGTGCAGGCTTGAGGTGCAGGCTTGAGGTGCAGGCTTGAGGTGCAGGTTTGAGGTGCAGGTTTGAGGTGCAGGTTTGAGGTGCAGGTTTGAGGTGCAGAGTTCGTCACCTTGACTCGCACCAGCACAGGGAGAGGTGACCCATCCAGGGCACGGTGCGTCCACTCAAAGCTGATCGCTTCACCACTCCGCTCTGCACCCGCGCCATCACCTCGCCACCCACCCCTGCCTGCCCCTCCCCTCACCCTCGCACCAGCCACAAACAACATATGCGCTGGTGCCTCGCACCAGCCACAAACAACATATGCGCTGGTGCCTCGCACCAGCCACAAACAACATATGCGCTGGTGCCTCGCACCAGCCACAAACAACATATGCGCTGGTGCCTCGCACCAGCCACAAACAACATATGCGCTGGTGCCTCGCACCAGCCACAAACAACATATGCGCTGGTGCCTCGCACCCCTGCCTGCCTGTTCTCCCCTCTCACCTCTTCCTGTGCTGGTTAGAGTCAAGGCAGGCAGGGGTGCGAGCGAGGCACCAGCCACAAACAACATGTCTCACCTTGACTCTAACCAGCACAGGAAGGGGTGAACCATCCAGAGCACAGTGCATCCACTCGAAGCTGATTGCCTCTCCGCTCTGCACCCGTGCCATCACCTCCCCAGCCGCCTCGGCCGTCGGGCGGCCGTCCGGCTGCACGGGCGGCGAGAAGCTGACGTGGAATGGACGGCACATGACGTCTGCCTTGGAGGCGCAGCGCAGGATGGTGACAGCCGCCTCGTTGCAGTCCGTTATCGACTCCTCGTGCAGACGGAAGATGAAGATGGGGTCCTGCAGGGGAGGAGAGAGAAGATGGCGTTGTGAGGAGTGAGGGGGGAGGAGAGACGCAGCGCAGGATGGTCACGGCCACCTGTCTGTTATCGACTCTTCGTGCTGACGGAAGATGAATATGGGGTCCTGAATAATAAGAGAAGAGGCAGGAGAGGGGTGTGGGGGTGGTGGGGACAGAGTGAAGAGGGAGGAGAGGGGTGTGGGGGTGGTGGGGACAGAGTGAAGAGGCAGGAGAGGGGTGTGGGGGTGGTGGGGACAGAGTGAAGAGGGAGGAGAGGGGTGTGGGGGTGGTGGGGACAGAGTGAAGAGGGAGGAGAGGGGTGTGGGGGTGGTGGGGACAGAGTGAAGAGGCAGGAGAGGGGTGTGGGGGTGGTGGGGACAGAGTGAAGAGGGAGGAGAGGGGTGTGGGGGTGGTGGGGACAGAGTGAAGAGGCAGGAGAGGGGTGTGGGGGTGGTGGGGACAGAGTGAAGAGGGAGGAGAGGGGTGTGGGGGTGGTGGGGACAGAGTGAAGAGGGAGGAGAGGGGTGTGGGGGTGGTGGGGACAGAGTGAAGAGGCAGGAGAGGGGTGTGGGGGTGGTGGGGACAGAGTGAAGAGGGAGGAGAGGGGTGTGGGGGTGGTGGGGACAGAGTGAAGAGGCAGGAGAGGGGTGTGGGGGTGGTGGGGACAGAGTGAAGAGGGAGGAGAGGGGTGTGGGGGTGGTGGGGACAGAGTGAAGAGGGAGGAGAGGGGTGTGGGGGTGGTGGGGACAGAGTGAAGAGGCAGGAGAGGGGTGTGGGGGTGGTGGGGACAGAGTGAAGAGGGAGGAGAGGGGTGTGGGGGTGGTGGGGACAGAGTGAAGAGGGAGGAGAGGGGTGTGGGGGTGGTGGGGACAGAGTGAAGAGGCAAGAGCAACCAGGATGGTGACAGCCTGAAGGGTTTAGGCTTTTTGTTAGAATTCTCAAAAAAAACCTACAGCATCAGGGTTATCGACTCCTCATGCAGACGGAAGATGAATATGGGGTCCTGAGTGGTGAGGAAAGGGAGGGGGGTGTAGGGTAGGGGCAGAGTGAGGAGGGATGGATTCTGCCTTGTTGCGGTCTGTTATTGCCTCTTTATGGGAACAAGAGATGAAAATCGGGTCTGGAATGAGCATGGAAGGGGGGTTACAGTGGCAGAGCGTGGGGCAAAGAGTGTAAGAGGCGATTGAGATTATCAAGCAGTTTAAATTCAGATATAATCAAACAATGAAAAAAAAAAAACCAACGAAAATATCAAACAAGCAAACCAAGGCAGGCGGAGAGATTTGGTAAGTACAATGGAGAGGTCAAGACAGCTCGGTATCGCACGTTCTCCTCTCTCAGCCTCGCCGGGTGACGTTTGGGTCGACTCAAAAGACAAGTGGAGTTGCTCGCAAGCAATACATGGGGCTGTTGTTATGTTACCATGGACAGCTCAAAGACAGCTCGGTATCGCACGTTCTCCTCACTCAGCCTCGCCACCTCCTCCATCCTCGCCAGTAGCTGCTCCGCTAAGGTGGCGCCCCCATCGCCACTATCCCCCTTATTAACCATGGCGCCACCACCGCCGTTTCTGCCCCCAGCACCCGCATCAGCCTTGCCATCGGCAACAGCAGCAACGGCGACACCATCACCCACCACAGCACCTAAATCACCATCAGTACCAGCACCGCCACCACCACCAGCCACATCATCACCATCACTATCCCCACAGGACTCATTGCCGCACGCCGTCACAACAGCATCCCGTTCCTGGGCCCATGATTCAACCCCTCTACCCGAATCACCCCCTCTGCCCAAGTTATCCGCCAACTGCCTTTCTTCAACCAGCAAACGGACACCACTAACAGCTGCACCAGGCTTTAACCTTTCAGATACTTCTGCTGCTGCTACTGCTGCTGCCATTGCAGCTGGTACTGCAGGTAATTCTGCTGCTGTCGCTACTGCCCCTGTTGCTTCTGTTGATACACCTGCTCCTGCTGCCGCGCCTGCTGCTGCTGCGCCCATTCCTCCTGCTGCAGTTTCCCCAGAGGACGCAATGCCGACCTGTGATTGGCTCACTGCGTCTCTCAAGCCTTGCGATTGGACCGCCGGCTCCCTCGTCCCCTGCGATTGGCTGACGGCGTCTCTCGAGCGCTGCGATTGGTCGGCAGCAGAAGTGCGGCATGGCGCGTCAGAGTGCGACCGGAGCATGCAGGAGAGACGTTCCAGGCGTGAGCGCACTGCATCCTGGGAAGAGTTGGAGGGGTTCGGAGGGTTTGGGGCGGGTTGAGAAGATTTGGGGCGGGTTGAGAGGGGCGGTTCGGAAATGAGATTAAAAGGCATACAGGATAGACAGGCGCTCTAGAGCTAGTGCATCTTCTAAGGAGGAAGGAGATGCGGGGTCGTCTGGGGTGGATGAGAATTCGTTTGTAGGACTCTCTAATATGAAGGAAAGCAACGCAACACAACGCAACAACACGACACGACGTTACACATCGAATGAAGAGACAAACCTGCTTACATAGATGGGCCGGGCTGTTCCTGCTGCCTGCATAACCCCTTCCGAATCCGCATGCAGGCAGAGAAGAGAAACGACGTTTGAGGCGCATCAGAAGGAACGTTACAAAGCGCATGAATGTAGAAACCCGGCTGGCTTACGTAGATGGGCTGTTCCGGCACAGCGCCTTCCGATGCCGCATGATGATGCCTCCGCTTCTTCGACTTCCGCCCTGCGCCAAGCTCCCCCGCGCCAAGCCCCTCCGCCTCGCTGCCTGCTTCCGCCGCACTGCTCCCGCGGGGGAAGACGGCGCGCGCAGCACTCCCGTCCGCGCTGCTCTGCCGGGGGACAGCCTCTTGGGCAACAATTCCGCCCGCAACGCTGTCGCGAACAGCTTCGCGCGCAACTGTCGCCGACGGGACAGCAGCACGCCGAGCGAACGTTCTATCCGCCGCGCTGGCCCCATGAACCGCCGCTCCGCCGCCCCGCCGTTCCGTCTCCAAACGACCCGTCGTATTCTCCGCGTCCGCTTCGCCCTGCCCCTGCCGATCCGCGCGCAAACCCGCACGGGACTCACTAATCGCCCTTCCGACAAATTTGTGCGAATTCTCGAAACCCTGATTTTTCTGAAAATCTTCCAAAAATGTTTCCCGCCGAACCTCTCCCTCCCTTCTCGCTCTACCCACCCGCCTCCCCGCTTCGCGCTGCAAATTCGGTTTGAATGGGTCAATATCCGCGTTATCGGCTCCTGTGTAAAGAGCGCTTTGCACGTGGCAGCGGCAGCAACAGTCCCGCTGAAAAAACGCGGCCTTTGGGGTTTGAACCCGGCCCTTCTCTTCCCCGAAATCTTCCTCTCTGCTCGCCACGCCTATCCCTAAATCCTCTGCCACGTTCGTTCCTCCTGCTGAGTCTTGAAAACGATTTGGCCCGTTGTTTGCCGTATTTATCGCACCCTCAAAAAGAGTAGTCGTTGGGTCTAAAGGGGAAATCGTGACGTCTGAAGGAGTAATCGCCGCGTTTAACGTAGTAACCGTCACGCGAGCCCAAAAAAACTCCTCGCTGCAAGTCGAAGCGCATGTCGCCGCGCTTCGACGGGAGAGACGAATGTTACAACCTGCACTGCGATCTAGGTCAGGAATTGCCCCGCCAGCGAAATGTGTTTCCGAAACAGCGAAATGCGTGGACTTTACGGGTATCGCTTGACGATCCGAGGGGTCGACAGTGGAAGCAGTAGCAGCAGGAGGGTGTGGTGTGATGATGGGCCGAAGTCTACAGACCGTATCGAAGCAGCTCTGTAACGCGGACCAGTCTTCCGGGTGAACGTAGTTCGGAAGGAAAGAACTCGCAACCTCTAGAGCCATGCTGCTCGGTTTCTCCTAGAGTTTAAAGATAAAGCAAGCCGCCGTCGATCATGAAAACGATTTCACTGTCTGGAAGCTTAGCATGCTAAGCTCCCGGAAATACATAACAAGAAGGTTAAAGGTATGCGGTCTCAGGTAGTAGTCGCAATGCAGGGCATACTATGCCACGAACTTCAGGTGGAAGGTTTGTTTGTTGTTGAGTGAACTCGTGTGTGTTTGAAGGTTGTACACCCTGTTTCGCGCTAGCAGAGCATCTGGTTGCAGAACATTCACTGGTTGTAGAACGTCACCACGTTTGAAATGGTCTTATCACCGACGGTACAAGCACATTCACAAGAAAGCGGTTAGCTAGGATGCTGCATTGTAAAGAACATTAACCAAGCGTTTCAAAGCGGTTGAAAAGGGTATACAGCGATAAAGAAAATTTTTGCCCCCAGTACCACTCCGTCAGCTGGTGCGGCTTTGCCCGCAGGTTTCAGCCATACGGTTTATGGCACCTGACCGCACTGTAGCAGCGAATCGCGCAAGGTGAGAGGGTCGAGAAACAGGGTGTACACACACGAGAGGCTGTCCCCCAAGGTTGTACTGTACTTATGGTGTGTGTGATTGTGTGAGGTTTGCTGCTGGGTGGCGAATGGCGGTGGTGACAGCGGCGGAATGGAGGGAGCATCCGAGCCGAGGCTTGCTTGCTTGCAGTGCAGCCTGCTTCAGATACACCCTGTTTCTCGACCCTCTCACCTTGCGCGATTCGCTGCTACAGTGCGGTCAGGTGCCATAAACCGTATGGCTGAAACCTGCGGGCAAAGCCGCACCAGCTGACGGAGTGGTACTGGGGGCAAAATTTTTATTTATCGCTGTATACCCTTTTCAACCGCTTTGAAACGCTTGGTTAATGTTCTTTACCATGCAGCATCCTAGCTAACCGCTTTCTTGTGAATGTGCTTGTACCGTCGGTGATAAGACCATTTCAAACGTGGTGACGTTCTACAACCAGAGCATGTTCTGCAACCAGATGCTCTGCTAGCGCGAAACAGGGTGTACTGAAGTGTAGCTGATGCGATGCGTGCTTCCCCTGCGCTGCTATGCCATCCACATCTTTCCCAGCAAGGAGAAACTGTTTTTCCTGGCTGTCGAAAGGAGCTCTCTCGGCTTACGTTACCCTGAATCCAAGTGTATTTTAAAGATTCAGAAATGTCCTTGATGAACTGCACTGAGGAGGATTCGTTGACCCTGAAAAAAAAAATGATCTTTACGGGCATCTATGTACAGTAATAGAGTTTATTTTTGTTGGATGAAAAATACTGTACCCGGGAATGATCCGACAGCATCTCGCTGAACCTGCACTGTACATCTGAATGGCAAACCTTCCATTGCACGCATTTGTGCCGAAGCCCGGCCTGAGGCGTGCAATTTGGTTTCCTCGGCGCCTTGTTGCTGCACAGCTAGGGCCAATAAGCTTGCGAGAATCCCAGCACAGGTCCACGCTGGCGAGCTGCTAGGGGTCCGCGCCAAGCCTTGCTGATGGGGGGGCTGGAGTTTCAGCTTGACAGGAGTGAGGTCATCGTCAGATCACTCGGTTCACGTGACATGTCGATAGATCAGAATCGAATCCCGGTGCAAACTGTAGCGGCTGCACATCGCATGCCATTATCCACGACAGAAGCCTTTGTCGTTGTCGTGCTCAAACAGCAGAGGGACGTGGATGACACGGCCACTATTAGTACTCGATGAGAAATATAGCCACTAAAGATACAGAGTGTTTGTTTAGAATTTTGAGGGCTTAAGAATCCATGTAGTATTCCACAGGGCCACTTCAGTTTCGACCACGACTGTTTTTATGCCACACCCATAATAAGCTTCTCCTGCTCGTCCAGCTTCTTCACTTGCATGAGGCCAATCAGCACACGCAGGCCAAACACAGCACTGGCCACCAGGAGCAAAGTAGCAGGTGTTTTCCGGGCGGCAATGTGCATGGCTGAAGCCACATTCATCAGGGTGGCTGCTGCTATGGCCTGCAAGGGTGGATTTTTTTTGCAACGATAACAATAAGAGGGGAGGGGAGTCAGTAATGTGCCTGATAGACAGACAAAAATAGAGGGGATGACACAGGCACTGGATGTACTGGCAACCATTTGTGGTGTGGACAGTGCATGCAAGAATAGGATTCTTACGCTGCCGATGGTGTTTTGCATGGTCGCCACTCTCTTGAACGCCCTCTCGTTCTCCAGTGTCCGCACTCGCAGCTTCAAGTCGCCTTGCTCCTGTGGATCAGCAAAGAGGAGGAAGAGGAGTGAGGATGTGGATGGGTTATGCATGATATGATATGCATGCAAATGTGCGTGTGTCTGAGCAGCCCATCTCAAGAGACATAAGACGACATCTAGAGAACAGCTAGTGAAGTGCAAGTCCACCCAATCTGAACCTGCGGCGCATACCAGTCTCAGGATGACGTCAGCAAGCTTTTCCACACGGCTGGGTTGCCTGAGAAGGTTCCGGAAGGCCTGCGACTGGCGGTCCCACCGCTTCCTCAGCTCCTGCTCACCCAACAGGATTGGTCCCAATGGAAGGGGGAATAAAATTGATGTGAAGAACATGCATGACTAAGGAGTGCACTGATGCCAACACGTGGCAACCCGCTGAGCACATTGCAGCCCGCTCGCACAAATGCGCAAGGTCAGAGCCCTCTCACACAAGGCATAGCATCAGTTTTCAAGAGTGCAAGGCAGTGGCTCGCCTTGAGGAAGAGCTCAGGGCCCATTTTTGAGCTCAGAGCCCATTTTTGAGCTCAGAGCGATGTAAAAGCATGCATCATTCGGGGCTCACCTTGAAGAAAATCTGCGTGTAAGTAGACGACTTTTGAGACGTCTCAAAAAGCATGAATCCTTTGGGGCTCACCTTGAAGAAAATCTCGGAGCCGACCTCCCTGAAGCGAAGCAGCTCGAGTGCATAGCTGGATGAGGGGCGCGATGGGAGAGGGGTAAAGAAGAGAGGAGGGGAGAGGAGGGGAGGACGGCAGCGAGGTGAGAAAGCATAGGGGCCAGTACGGCTTCGTAAGAATGGAGGGGAGAAAGCGGATGTACAGCTTGGCAGCAGAAGGGGAGAGTGAAACGAAAGGGGTTAGAGCGGGTATAGCCTTGGCAGTGAGTAATGAAAATGGGAAAGAGTGGGCGTACGGCTTGGCGATCTCAGAGATGTCAAACTTGGCGTCCAGCCCCTTGCCAATGCCGTCCAGCACTGAGAAGGCGCGCACCACAAACGTGAATCTGCAGGGGGAGAGGGATACGTGCGGTAAGGAGGGAAACTGGGTTGAGGGAAAGGTGAAGTGAATGGCACCCCTTGCCAATGCCGTCCAGCACTGAGAAGGCGCGCACCACGAAGGCGAAGCTGCACGCACGCAGAGAGAGGTGTGTGGGGGGTGTGATGAAGGTTGAACAGAGACAGTGAAGGGCGACACTTACTAAAGGCGTCCAGCACTGAGAAGGCACGTTCCACAATGCTATGTGATCAAGGTGTGTGATGACCGTGCCATGTGATTGCATGCCATGAAGAGGTACAGCATGCCACGCATGCCATGATATGCCATGCCATGCCATGATATGCCATGCCATGCCATGCCATGCCATGATATGCCATGCCATGCCATGCCATGCATGCCATGCAATTTCGCTGCTTATGCCATGTGTGTGATGCCATGCCACACATCAAACCTCGATCTGCTTACGTGGCTGGGAATCGGAAGGGCTGGTCAGCTGCAATGGCCAACAGGTCCTCTCCTGTTGGTGGGGCACATGAGAGGGTGGAGAGCACATTAGAGAGCAGGGAGTACATGAGAGCAGAGCACAAGGCAGGGGATAGGCCAGCCAGAGGCAAGGAGAGGATGGGAATCAGAAGGGCCGGTCACCTACAATGGCCAACAGGTCCTCTCCTGTTGGTGAGAGACACGAAGGGTGGAGCACATGAGAGGGCGGGGCATGTGAGGAAGCAGAACACATGAGACGCAAAATCTTAGATGGAAAATCTTAGAGCCAAGAGGTGCAGAAACAGAAGAGGAAACACGACATCGGATAGAATGAAGGTGCCCACTTGTGGTGTAGGCCTTCGCTGCATTGTAGGGCGCCTCGGTGCAACACTGGTTGTTTTCGAGAAGCCTAAAAAAAATCATTACCACTATCCGCACCAACACGACAAGCCCCACTCACCGATGGCAGAGAGCCACATCTTCTGCTTAGCCAGGGCCTCGTCCTTGATCATGGGCGCACTAGCCTTGGCCTCTTTGCATGAACCGCGCGCCGCCACCACCACGAGCATTTAGCATGACAAGCCCCACTCACCAATGGCAGAGAGCCGCATCTTGCGCTTAGCCAGCGCCTCTTCTTTGGTCATGGGCGCGCTCGCCTTGGCCTCCGCCTGCTGCTGCGCCAGGCGCTCCTCAAACGAGTTGAGGAAGAACTGCGCCGTGCGCCGCACAGCCGTGCGGTCGCCGGTGGGCACGAGCACGCCCATCTGCACCATGGCGTCCAACACCTTGTCTGGGTCCTTCTCATACACCCCGTAGAACGCCTCCACCAGGCCCTCTCGGATGTCAGAGGGGATGCTGCATGCAAAGGACCGCATAGATCAGGGGAGGGAGAGGAGGACAGAAAGGTGAGAGTATGCCATTGCCAGCATCAGGTGTTCAGAGCGGTCTGGTTGGGTGGGAGGGAAGGAGGGGGGAGATGGTGGGTGTGAGTGGGGTGTGGGCACGAGCACGCCCATCTGCACCATGGCGTCCAACACCTTGTCTGGGTCCTTCTCATACACCCCGCAGAATGCCTCCACTAGGCCTTCACGGATGTCCGAGGGGATGCTGCAGGCAAAAGGAGAGGAGTGAGGTTCAAGGGAGAGCGGGAGGGCGAGTAGAGTTTGCTATCGGCAGGTGTTCAGAGGGATCAGGTTGGGTGGGAGGGAGGGAGGGAGGAAAGGAGGAGGGGAGGGTGGGCACGAGCACGCCCATCTGCACC